CTCTACCTTTAGCAGACATCGTATGGCTGGTCATTAATACTAGCATTCATGTTTATACAGCATAGATATTAACAAGATCCATTCCTAACAAGAGTAAACAGAATACATTGTCCCGTAACCTGCAAAGGGGAAGTCCATCTTTCCTTCAAATTTAGTGTCCATTTTGAACAAGCTGCCACAGACAAGCGGTGTCCCTCCCTCACATGCGAGGCCACTGAATGTGCTGTCTAAACTGTATGTGATTGAGGCAACATACGGCATACAGCATTGTGTTCTGTTACAAGCGGAGACCTTCATATTTCAGAAAAGGAACACTAGAGCCTGCCTCAGGAGCACTCAGCCACTCATATGAAGTGATGCATTATCAATGAGTACAAAGCTTCCTCTGATTGGCTAATCAATAGCCTGCCTCTGCGACTCAGGCAATCAGATGGAGCTTTGTACTCATGAATAGAATACTTCTGTTTGTGTGAGTGGATGAGTGCTGCTGAGAAAGAATATTGTGTTCCATGTCTGAGGCGGGAAGCCCTCACCTGACACCCAGAGAACTATGCCTTATGCTCTATGGAACCTACATACATTTTATATAGCAGTTCCAGTGGCCTCACGTCTTTTACTGAGCTGCATCGTTCATTCTGCCAAGTTTGCCAAATCTAAACTATGTAAAGTGTAACCAAGGCTGGACTTCTGCTGGAAACTGGATTAGGAATGCAAAAGCACCCAAGTCATGTGGAACCTGCTTAAAACTTACACCATTCTGATCCGACACCAAATGCATCAACTCCAATGTCAGGCTATCACTTTGCATAATCCAACAGATTACAGAGTAAAATCAAAACGTTCTCCTGTAGAGGACAGTCCAAGCATTCAATACTCCTAAACACACTTCATGTTCCAAAGGATGTAGGACAGTGTGCACCGAGTGTAACTACACAGGTATTATTGTATCATGTCAATGTTCTCCAACCTAACATTGCAACTATGCTGCCACTCTGTATACATACACCGTATGGCGAGTGATCCTCCGCCTTTCCTCCACTCTGTATACATACACCGTATGGCGAGTGATCCTCCTCCTTTCCTCCGCTCTGTATACATACACCGTATGGCGAGTGATCCTCCTCCTTTCCTCCGCTCTGTATACATACACCGTATGGCGAGTGATCCTCCTCCTTTCCTCCGCTCTGTATACATACACCGTATGGCGAGTGATCCTCCTCCTTTCCTCCGCTCTGTATACATACACCGTATGGCGAGTGATCCTCCTCCTTTCCTCCGCTCTGTATACATACACCGTATGGCGAGTGATCCTCCTCCTTTCCTCCGCTCTGTATACATACACCGTATGGCGAGTGATCCTCCGCCTTTCCTCCGCTCTGTATACATACACCGTATGGCGAGTGATCCTCCGCCTTTCCTCCGCTCTGTATACATACACTGTATGGCGAGTGATCCTCCGCTCTGTATACATACACTGTATGGCGAGTGATCCTCCGCTCTGTATACATACACTGTATGGCGAGTGATCCTCCGCTCTGTATACATACACTGTATGGCGAGTGATCCTCCGCTCTGTATACATACACTGTATGGCGAGTGATCCTCCGCTCTGTATACATACACTGTATGGCGAGTGATCCTCCGCTCTGTATACATACACTGTATGGCGAGTGATCCTCCGCTCTGTATACATACACCATATGGCGAGTGATATTTCGCCTTTTCTTTAAAATAACATCAGTCTACTTTATCGGACTGTCAAATATATATGGCACGAGTGGAATATCCAAAAATGTGCAAAACTTTCAGCCACATCATCCCTATGTAACATTTGTCTGAATATTTGTCTAATATTGTATAAACAATGTACAGTTTGTATACGGTTATATTTTATCACACAAAAACAAAATATTTTAATATTTCTACAAACATTTCATATTTTTGATAAAAAAAAAATTCTTAAAAATTATTCTATTTTTGATATTTCAATAAAGCAGTGTTGCTTAAAAAATCTATTTTTTTATATGCGAATATTTTTGGGTTTGTTTTTACATTTCACTATTTTGGTAGTGAATATATGGATAATGTAAACCAAGGGTGTCAAACTGTCACAAGAGGCATTGCAAGGCTGATAGTTACAAGCATGACTCCCAAAGGCAGAGGCATGATGGGACTTGGAGTTCTGCAACAGCTGGAAGGCCGCCAGTTTGACACCCCTGAGCTAAACAACAGCCCTCCAGAGGAGTTTTGCCCATCCTGACCAGTACATTTTTTGCCTTCTGGCACAGTGATACTTTAACTGACAATTGCACAGTCATGCAACCCTGCACCCAAATGATGTTTACGTTCTTTTTTGAAATGGACACAGCTTTCTTTTCTATTTTTTTTTGGGTCACTTGTGTGTTCATGTTTTTGAGCTAGGCCCACATAAAAGAGGACATTCATTGTTTTACAGGAAAGTTAGAGTAGTTACAAGTGGTTGTATATAGACTAATTTTTGGGGTTTTCCAAGTTTTAGTAGTAATGGCGGTCATCAATGACTTATAGCGAGACTGCAGTGGACATTCTGACACTGGGGTGGTGTCACTGTGCTAACAGCACTGAGCAGGAAGGTAAACATGAGAGGTGCTCAAAAGGATTAACTGTGTGGGGTGTGTTTTACACTGGCTCTGTTGGTGCTTCACTGTAAGCACACTGCTATGCAGAGCCATGCAAAGCAGTGTGCAGGAGCTGACATAGGAGAGATCTTTATTGTTTCCAGTTCTCCCCTCCATTGGAGATGCTTGCCAAGCAGCGTGCGCCATTGAGTAATCACTGTGCACGACCTGGTGACTGACTGCTGAACAGGTAGGGTGTGCAGATGCCTTGTGTCTGCAAATGTCATGCGTTTCATACATGTTAGCCGATCATACACATTGCACATCAATGAACCAATTTTAGGTTGTTCTTAACTTGACACCTCCCCACAGTGGTTTGCATTAATTAGGTGCAATTTGGATACGGTGTGGACATTGCACAGAAACCGCTGTAAATCTGCACCGCATCTTTTACTACATCCCTATAACGGTTTCTAAATTTTTGCATGTGGCTGGCCATTTTGGGGGGTCAATGCATACAGCCTTTTATCACATCATTGCATGGTCGGTGAGAATGAACATAAATTTATGTGACTTTGGGGGGTATTCTTCAGACAGTTTAGCAGATTGCCTGCCATAGCAAATGCATGTGCTATACATTTATTCACACACAGGAAGCCATCTACTAATGTTTTGTTGACATTAAACAGCTTTGACCTTTGTTCCGGAACAGATATTTCGTACAGGCGAAACTTCCTTCCAGGTCACGGCTCAAGCACATATTCTTTTCGGAAAAGCGATCGTACGATTTGACCATCATTGACTCGAAAATCGGTCGTTTTTCACGAATGCCCAATCACCGAAAAGAGGAACCGCGAAAATCGTCCGGTGTCATTAACCCACTAACCGTGCGAAAATTGGCCGATTATTCTTTCTGGCGAAAAATCGGCCAATTTTCGAACCATGTATGGCTGGCATTAGAGGTAATGCCAAGACACTTCGACAGAATATGGGGTTCCTGGAGACTAGATCCACCTTTAGTGCAACCTGGTGCAGACTGACCATGCCCAGTTATTTGGATTATGGTATGCACTCTCTGTACTGTCATTTCCTTCTTGTATGCATTTTTTTTTTATAGTACAATTGTGGCACTTTTTTTGTACAAAAACAAAAATGACAACGTAAGGGGATTAAAAAAAAAAACAAAAAAAAAAAAAAAAAAAAAAAAAAAACAAGGCTCCAGCTAAAAAACACTAGAAGGACAAAGGAAATTATTTTTCACACACGCAGCTTGTACATGTTCTCCACAATCAGCAGTGATTCCAATCAGAAGATACGTCTACCTGATGAAACCATAAGACAGCTGGATTTTTGTCATATCGGGTCACATCTGTTTATGACTAAATCTGAAAGATTAAACACGAACAAAAGAAGCGGTCACGTGATAACTAAATGCAAGAAAAGTGATCACTGGGTCATGTCACTATGACTGAGTAGTATGCCAATGATGACAAACGGATATTGATCAGTTTCTGATTCCGATAAAGAATATTAACAGCAACCCAACATCCCTGTCAACACTAAGGGCTCTTTCACCCTCCGCTCCAGTCAGCAAGGGATCCGCGAGTGGAATCCTTGCTGAAACAAGCTGAATGGGATGGATGTCAGTTTTTTCTTTTTAACATCCATGCCCATTCAGTTTGTGTCCGGTAGACATGGGCACCCCCATAAAGGCTCTATGGGCGGTCAGATATAAACAGACTTACGTTTTTTGGGGGTTTATTTTTTTTTAGATCAAGTTACCTCTGAAGCGAATATTTGCTTTGTTATAAGAAAACTTTAGAATGGTTATTGTGCCCAAGCAGAACACTAAAAATGTGTATCTTATGTCTTGAATTCCCCAAGAAAATAGCAGTGCATTTCCTGGTATGTGAGGGTACATAGGAACACCTGTGCCTACAGCCTCATAGCTATATATCTACAGTGTGAGATCTAAGGCATTGCTGATGGTGATGTCACTACTGTGCTGCTTACTGTTCTCATTACTGGAGCTTATGACATGAGGAAGACATTCTACCAAAATGTCGCTTCCACGCAGAGACACGGCAGAACAAGGCATAGTAAGTTAATGCGGGAAAAGATCAAATGCAGTACAGAATTAACAAGAAAAGCAAATATAAAATATATAATGCTACCAATATATTTATATGAAAATATAAAATTACATTAATAATGAAATAATAAAGTAATGGATCATATTTATCCATCTCCAAATGAGATATCAGAGGCTGCTACAGGTACAAACCGTTTTTTTTTTTTTGTTTCCTTTTCTGAGCCAAAACATAGCAAACAAAAAAAAAAAAAAAAAACAAAAAAAAAAGAAAAAAGAAAAAAGGAAGAAGCACACACTTGACAGGAACATACCTCTCCAGATCCTCCTATAGACTCCTCTGAAGAACTGCACTGACCGCTAGCCCCATTCTGTAGCCGCTCAAGAAGTTCCAATAAAGCAAAATTTTTCTTTAGACCCCATACTCCAGAGTCTCCTGTTGATAAAACAAGATTTTAATATTAAAAAAAAAAATATATATATATACACACACACACACACACACACACACACACACTAAACAACAAATGTATTGCCCCTAAATAACCAGCCCTAAATACTGGATATGAAAAGTCCAGGCAAAACTTGTTATTTTTCTGTTTTGGATATAGTAAAGAGAGCTTAACTTGTATTTCCATTTCTGCAGGCAAATCAGGATAACAGCTACTTCATATTTGTTACATGTTGTCATTCACATAGGATAACAGTAAAGAGTCACGGGGGGGAGGGGGGAACCTTACGTTTTAAGTTGCCCTTTCCTCAAATTGCCAATACTGAAGGGGCCTGAGGAGTTACTGTTTACCATAATTAACCATATCTGTACTATGCTGACAGATTTCATCAACAGTTGTAAACTAGATTTGAACACTGCCTGTGATGAGAGGCTCCACTCACACCTATGCAACAGTGCATGTGCGTTTAGGTGCATTACATTCAGGTCAGCCCACCCATTTCAATAGCTGCCCTTGGGGTGTTTTTTTTGTAATTGTGCTGCACCAAAATCACATAGAACTTTGTTAGCATGTGTTATTGTGCACACATTAGCAAGGTGCATTGGAGTACCATGATCTCTTTCCCTCCCCCTCTCACAGAGCAGCCTCAATCCTCTTCTTTTTGGGTCCCTGCCAGCACTCCTGGCTCCTCCCTCTCAAGCAATGCCCCCAGGGAAAGCTGCTCGCCCTGGGGGCACCACTGTGTGCTCATCCCCAAGCCGTTACTCTATGCGTTCATAGGACACATAGAACTGTGGCTCACCCCCCCAGATCTCTCCTCATTGGCTGTGAATGAAAGCAGCGGGAGCTAATGGGCTCCTGCTGTTGTCTCAGCCAATGAGGAAGAGTCCCCAGACAGCAGAGGCTGTTGAGAAGGTCGCTTGATTGGAGGGGGCTAAGGTAAGGATTGGCAGGGGGCTGGGGGGGGGCACTGCACACAAGGTTTTTTTACCTTCATGCATAAAATGCATGAAGGTAAAAAGCCTTCAACTTTTACAACCACTTAAATAAAAAAAATATATATTGAGACATGCTGTGTGAATGAGAACACAAAAATATAGGGCTGGATTTACTAAAGGCAAATAGATTATGCACTTTGCAAGTGCAGCTGCTCCGAAGCTTAGTAAATGAGGTGGAGCTCTGCTGACTTTCATAATCCAATCAGGTGCAAGCAAAACCGCTGTTTACATTATTTTCTGTGCATGTGATTGGGTATTCTTTGCAAAGGGAAGCTTCATCTTATTTACTAAGCTTTGGAGCAACTGCAGTCTATTTGCTTTAAGTAAATCCACCCCATAGTGTTTCTCTCAAATATGACTACAAAGTGGAAATACACTTTAACCGCTTCCACGCCACCCTATAGCAGAAATACTACTACAGGGCAGCACGGGTGCGCAAAATCATGTATATATAATCACATAGGGGGCGCCACCATTCGTGGCATCGGCTGTCAATCACCGGGTCCCAGGCGATGATTTCTCGCTGACACCCGGTGATCGCCGAGTATCTCCGACAGGGGAGAGACCTGCTTATAAACAAGACAGATGTCTACCGTCAGCTCCTGCACACTGCTTTGTTCGGCTCTGCATAGCAGAGCCGAACAAAGCAGTGTGCTTACAGTGAAACACAGCTCCCATAGTAAACAGCACACACTTAACCCTTTGATCGCCCCACATGTTAGCCCCTTCCTGCCCAGTGCCATTAGTACAGTGTCAGTGCTTTTTATTAGCACTGATCACTGTATTGGTGTCACTGGGGATGTCAGTGACACCAAGTCAGTTCCCCCCCAGGGTCAGAACGCCTGCCACAGTCCCGCTATAAGTCGCTGATTGCCGCCATTACTAGTAAAAAACAAAAAAAATTCCAGTATATATACCGCCATTTGCAAGTGCTATAACTTTCACGTAAACCAAGTAATTTACACGTATTGGGATTTTTTTTTTTAGCAAAGACATGTAGCAGAATACATTTTGGTCTAAATTTGATTTACATTTTTTTACTGGGCAAATAGCAAAAAGTCAAAAATACAGTTTTTCTCAAAATTGGAGGTCTTTTTTGTTTATAGTTTAAAAAATAAAAGCCGCACAGGCAATCAAATTCCACCAAAAGAATGCTCAATTCGTGGGGAAAAAGGACGTAAAATTTAATTTGGGTGCAATGACCGCGCAATTGTCAGTTAAAGTAACGCCACGCCATATTGCAAAAAATGGCCTGGTCAGGAAGGGGGGGGGGGGGGGTAAATCCTCTGGAGGGCAAGTGGTTAAAAGGATTTTTTGTTCTTCCTATCCTCATAACAGGGGTCACCAATAGAGGAGGCGAGGGGCAACCTCTCCAACAGGAACATGCATAGCAAAGAAAAATGGACTTTTTAGTAGACTGTGGTAGAAGAGCTTCTGTCTGAAAAGTAGTGTAGAAAGCCTAACAGAGGTTCTAACCCTGCACAGCTTATCCAACAGTAAAATGGCTTGGGCTAGAATTCTACGATTTTTATGTAAAAATGATATAAATCTAGAAATGTTACCTAGTTCAGTGACTTGCCGGTCAAATGGGCAGCGTATTGCTCTTCCATGCAGTGGCAGGCGTGTCAAGCAGTCGTGGCAGACAGTATGGCCGCACAGCAACAATCGTGGAACCTTGTCCCCTTGTAGTGTGAACACATCTTCACAGACACCACATTCCAGGACCTAAATATACCAGATAATAAAAATGATCATCAGAGGCAGGGAGGCCTTGCAAGTCTTCTGCAGTATGAGGAAGAGAAGCAGAGCTGAAGAAAAGATGGAAGATAACTGGGGAAAAAGAACACAGATGTCCTAAAAAGACAGTAGGAAGAGCAGTGTTAGTGCTCACTCACGTTGGCGGCCAGGGAGGGTAAAAGTAGGTAGTTGAGCCATGATTTTACTGTGGCTGCCCCTATTCAATTGGGGACAATTTTTGTTGCAACGCATCATGGCTGTAGCATATGCAGACCCCCCTTGCTGCCTTTCTAGTTTAAGGGGGGACAGTAAAAGGGGAGCTCAACCGTGCTTTTTACTACCCCCCACCGTTCATTTTTACCCACACCCCCCCACTCACAAGTGTGAATGTGAACAACCATCTTGCTTAACATGCTAACAAGAAGGCAGGGCCAAGTGGAATATTCCCACCAACAGTAAAGATCCACTGATCACTTTGCCTGCCGTGATCTCCAGATCTGCTGATCACCTTGGCATGCCGTTTTTAAGAACGTGAACCTCTGCTCGTGCTTCTCATCATATGTGCTGTTTGAAGCAAAGTGACAGAATTAACACAGTATTAAACCTCAAAAAAAAAAAAAAAAAAAAAAAAAAAAAAAAAAAAACCACAGGCCAGTGTTCAGTGCCATCACACTTTGAATGACAATTGCGCGGTCATGCAACACTGTACCCATATGACTTTTTTAGCATTTTTTTGAGACAGATAAAGCTTTATTTGGTGGTATTTATTCACCACTGGGATTTTTATTTTTTTTTTGCTATGTAAATTAAATAGTCCAAACATTTTGAATAAAAAAAAAAAAAAAAAAAAGTTTTTCTTATACAATTTTGCAAATAAATAGTATTTCATCATAAATCTTGGCCAAAATTGATTCCGTTATATTTTTATTAAATAAAAATAACCCAAATTAGTTTACCAAAAATTATAATTTTTAAACTTTTTTTTAAATTTTTTTTATATATTATTTTTTTACATACTGTCACCCTAGCAGTAGTGTCACCATGGTGACACTGTACAACTTGTGGGGGGGGATGAAGATTTTTCTCTTTTTTTTTTTTTTTACACCGATTCCTTTTACACCCATAAAGGATGTAAAAGCAATCATTTCTCCTTCTCTCGGCTGCATTCTTGCAGCCATTGAGAACTACTGAGTGAGCTGTGATTGGTCACAGCTTGTCACATGGTACAAGGCTGTTGTGAATAGCCTTGTACCATGTGACCTCTGTGATCATTCACACGTAGTAAGCAATGATATCACAAGTGACATCGTCTACTACTCTGCATGTGATCACTGATTGGCCAATCAGTGATCACATGATCGGGACCTCATACAGAGATCCCGTCCGATGATCGGTGTTCCAATGTGTCCGGAGTACACAGCGGGCACCGGATCGCGGTGCTGCGAGCTCCCAGGGAGCGCGCACAAGCTGGGTGCGGGGAGGCCGTTTATAAATGGCCACCGACCCTGCATTGCCACCGTCCGGCCGTTTATATACAACGGCCGGACGGGAGGTGGTTAAAGCCCATTCACACTTGTGCAACTTGTTATGTGACTTTCGAGTCCAAAGTTGCACGACAGGTCACACCCCATGTTTCCCCAACAAGTACCATTCATATCTGTGCGACCTCAAGTCGCAGCGACTTGAAAGTGGTTCCTGCACTCCTTTGGTCCAACTTTCACGCAACTTGAGAACCATAGGCTTCAATGTAAACCCTCCAAAGTCACTTCTGAATGATATACATGTAACTGTTACATGTTTGTGCTTTCAATTAAACTGTCAAACCATGAAAAGGCTGAAGTCATAACTTCTGCTGTAGAAGTTTTGCTGCATTAGTTTTCTTTTCTTTATTTTCACCTGGTGATTTGGCCAGAAAGTCTGTTGCTTTTCAGCTTTCTTTAACAGACCAAGCTCTCCAGGCAAAAGTAGCAGTTAGAGGGTTGAGACAAACTATTTAAACACACAAAGGGGTCAATTCACTAAGATAATTAACACATGGATTTTTTGAGTTAAAATAACTCAAGCGGTATTTATCTCAAAAGCAGTCAATCCACTTAAAAAATTTAAAAAAAAAAATGTGTTTAACAAAAAATTTAGGTTTTGCGATATTTATCACTTAGATTTATTAGTGTTATTTTTTCAGGTTTTTTTTATATGCCAACACTACACCAGAAAAAGAAATAAATGCACACAGAAATACACTGCTCAAAAAAAATGAAAGGAACACTTTTCAATCAGAGTATAGCATCAAGTCAATGAAACTCCTGGGATATTGATGTGGGCAGTGAAGTAGCAGAGGGGGTTGTTAATCAGCTTCAGCTGCTTTGGTGTTTGAAAGGAATGGTTTTACAGGTGGAGGCCACTGACATTTTTCCCTACTCATCTTTTCTGACTACTTTTCACTAGTTTTGCATTTGGCTAGGGTCAGTGTCATTACTGGTACTATGAGGCGATACCTGGACCCTACAGGCAGTCCAATTCCTCCAGGATGGCACATCATTACTTGCCATTGCCAGAAGGTTTGCTGTGTCTCCCAGCACAGTCTGAAGAGCATGAAGGAGATTCCAGGAGACAGGCAGTTACTCTAGGAGAGCTGGACAAGGCCATAGAAGGTCCTTAACCCATCAGCAGAACCGGTATCTGCTCCTTTGTGCAAGGAGGAACAGGATGAGAACTGTCAGAGCGCTACAAAATGACCTCCAGTAGGCCACTGGTGTGAATGCCTCTGACCAATCAGAAACAGACTTCATGAGGGTGGCCTGAGGGGCCTAATGTCCTCTAGTGGGCCCTGTGCTCACTGCCCGGCCAAAATGAATGCGGCTCTTTGCCTCTTATCATATTTTGTATACTGTGGCTCTTTGCCAAGTTTCATCTTTCTTTGGGGAGGTGGGGAGCGGGTACCTGAATTTGACAGGTACCCGCTCTTACTTCTTTGATTTTACCTGTTCCTCTATCCAGCGGCGCGCTGTCTTCCGGCTTCTGTAGTGTGGGCATGACAGCCGGGTGCCAAGTGCGCATGCGCAAGAAGCGGTGCTTTTTGTGAATGGTAAGGCGGTACCTGGGACACATGACAGATCCCAGAAGCCGCCGGACCAATCACAAAGCGCAAGTGCTTCTCGCTCATGCGCACTGGGCACCCGGCTGTCATGCCGAGCGCCATTACAGAAGCCGGGAAGACAGTGCACGGCTGGATCGAGGAACAGGTAAGATCAAACAAAAACCTCCAGGGTAGTTGATGTGTTAACTCTGGCTAAGTTGCAGTTGATGTGTGTGTTGAGGGTGGACACTTACCTTGAAATGAACACATTGTTGTTTTGTAAGGGGAAGAAAGTGTTATGGTGAATAATATGGTTTTAATTATGTGTTTTTGTGTGAGTGTTTGTCTGTTTTGGCAGGTCACTGCGTGGTGTGGCTCTCTGACTTTCACAGTTTAAAATTTTGGCTTTGTGTCTAACTTGTTCGCCACCCCTGCCATAGAGATTGATATTTACCTTTGAACATCAGAATTGGCAGATCCACCACTGGTGCCCTGTGCTTTTCACAGATGAGAGCAGGTTCACCCTGAGCACATGTGACAGACATGAAAGGGTCTGGAGAAGCCATGGAGAACGTTATGCTGTCTGTAACATCGTTCAGTATGACCGTTTTGGTGGTGGGTCAGTGATGGTCTAGGGAGGCATATCCATGGAGGGACGCACAGACCTCTACAGGCTAGACAATGGCACCCTGACTGCCATTAGGTATCGGGATGAAATCCTTGGACCCATTGTCAGACCCTATGCTGGTGCAGTGGGTCCTGGGTTCCTCCTGGTGCACGATAATGCCCGGCCTCATGTAGCGAGAGTATGCAGACAGTTCCTAGAGGATGAAGGAATTGATACCATTGAATGGCCTCCACACTTGCCTGACCTAAATCCAATAGACCACTTCTGGGATATCATGTGTCGGTCCATCTGACGCCACCAGGTTGCACCTCAGACTGTTCAGGAGCTCAGTAATGCCCTGGTCCAGATCTGGGAGGAAATACCCCAGTACACCAGCCTTTGTCTCATTAGGAGAATGCCCCGACATTGTCAGACATGCATACAAGCACGTGGGGGGCATACAAACTACTGAGTACAATTTTGAGTTGCTGCAATGAAATTTCAGCAAAATGGACAAGCCTGCTGCATCATTTTTTCACTTTGATTTTGGGGTGTCTTTGAATTCAGTCCTCTGTAGGTTGATCATTTTCATCAAACGATGGGGCATCCTTATGTTCCTAACACATCACCCAGTGCATATCAGTATAGACATCCAGCAGGAGATTTTTCCCCATTGAGATCTGATGTGTTTTCAAAACGTTCCTTTCATTTTTTTCAGCAGTGTGTATGAAACTATGAAAACATTGTAGCGTGTTTTCATTCACAGAATGCTCTCCCTCAGGTGAAATGTTACAATTTTCATTCCTGAGCCCCAGGCAGAACATTCCCACTCTGATACATTGCGTACATTTATCTTACTGGTCCGAGCAGAGTTCCCCTCATCGTTATATGGCGCATTGTCAAAATACCGCCTGCCTATTGGCTGCTGATGAATGACAAAGGTGTGACAGCTGTGAAAATGTGGAATAGACTCCCTCAAGAGTTGTTCTGGTCAGCTCAGTGGATTGCTTTAAAATAGGTCTGGATTCCTTCTTGGATACACAGAATATAACGGGATACTAACATTTATAGGTAAAGTTGATCCAGGGAATATCGGATTGTCCATCCTGATCCCCCGAGAGGCATTTCTTCACTGCAGGAGCAAATTGGATCATGCTTTGCTGGGTTTTTTGCCTTCCTCTGGATCAACTGTGGGTATAGGACTATAACTTTTTTTTTCTATGGTTGAACTGGATGGACTTTTGTCTTTTTTCAGCCAGACTAACTATGTAACTACATGTGTTCTTTAGTCCCGGATCACACTCGTGCTGATTTTTCGTCCCACTTTAAAGCGGATTATTCAGTGCGACGTCATTTAACTAATGTCAATGCAAGTTGCAATGAAGTCACACAAAAATAGTGCAGGAACCTTTTGCAAAGTCACTACAACTTGAATCACACCGAATTGAACAATTCCATTGCCACTAATGGGGTGCGACTTGTCATGCAACTTTGAACTCTTAAGTCACATTGCTGTGAACCAGGGATATGAGTGAATTGACTCCAATGATTTCTCTCAATTTTTTGTGCTATTTATCTCATGATTGATATTTGACTTTTGATGAATTTACTCTTTTATGGTTTCATGCAATATTTCCAAAAAATTAGTCATGTGACTTTCAGATCACATGTGGAATCCTTTAGTGAATTTACCCCAAAGTGATTATTTATGTAAAACCTTTACCCCAAAAGGAAAAAGAAACAGTTTTCTGTGACTCAGGGGTGTCAAACTGGTGGCCCTGCAGCTGTTGTAAAACTACAAGTCCCATCATGCCTCTGCCTTTGGGAGTCATGCTTGTAACTGTCAATCTTGCAATGCCTCATGGGACTTGTAGTTTGGCAACAGCTGGAGGGCCGCCTGTTAACTGCTTATAAAATAAGGTTTGGCCTCAGTTTGTTAGTGTATCTAAATCTACTAGTACATCTAATACTCTCCTCCCCCTAGATGTACAATGCTGCTGACCAAAGGTGTCTCTGTTACTCCTCCATTCAGACTGGGGGCACTCTAATACAGGAGGTGTGTTACTGGCCAGATCACCAGGTGAAAACAGAAGGAAAGGCCTACTAAAAGAAAACAAATGCAGCCACCACATCCAATGACAAGCAAGCTGCAATATATTACGCTTTTGGTTTAATATGGCTTTAGAGCTCCCCATATACATTACAATCTGGCCATGCAATTTCTGTACGATCTTAGATCCAGCAACTCAGTGTATTAGGAGGATCTACCCAAAGCATCCAATCAGGTAGACTCTTGCACTGCATACTTATTGGTAAACCCAGCAGAGATTGGACAATCAGATCCTTTCAACCATTACAAAGCAGAGCTGCCACCATGACATCATGGACTGACCAGCCCACACACAGCAGCCATTATTCTCCTGCCCTGCAATCCGAGGACTACAAGTCCCAGCCAGGCCTGTCCCCAGGAGGTCAGCTCCCCCCAGCACTGTGCTCTATGTAGGGACCCATGGGGGGGGGTGGGTTCTATTGCTTGCAGTAATAAAAAGTTGAGTGGATGAGGTGTGGGCGGAGTCAGGCCCCTGTGTACACAGCACAGGAGGATCGCTGACAACACATCGCACCGTCTGGGATCATACAGCCCCCCGTGGTCACTCCTCACCTTCACTGCTCCCCCCGGACCCGTCCGGCTGTGCCTGCTGATCCCCTCCATCCTGCCCGCAGAGCCGTGCCTATTAACAGCAGCAGCTGCAGCACCCGCCATATTCACAGGCCGGCCTCCACTATCGTCATCAGGGGGGAGGCTACACCCCGTGCCGGGACATTACACTGCACTGTAACCACCAGCTCGGGAAATTATTTTAAAATATGTAGATTAATAATTGTTAGTATTTTATCTGTAATATATGACCTTAACAGTGTTCTGATAATAAATGCAAGCCCCATTCTTCGTCCCCTACCCCCTCAGTGGGTGAATGGTTTCGTCCGTGCTTGCCAGTAGTAGCGCCAGCCTTTGCACATTCCTTGAATGCCACAGTCGCTATCACAGTTCCGCGGCGGCCATGTTTAGTGTGGGAAAACAAAAACGTCACTGGTGTAAACTGCGTGTATCCTTGTCTTCGTGGAAGCTCAAGTCAGATTCTTGTTTTATAGGATCGTTTATACTTATTACATTTACTCGGACCACAGTTTGTTTTCTGAAACTTTACAACAGTTTAAAGGATAACTGGTTAGAGTTGAACTTTATCTCATAACAATTTAATACAAAGGATCATACATTCCACATTAATAATTATGCCCCCAAAGTGAGTGTGTGCTGTAAATTGTCTTCAGTCTTGCTCCTGTTTATTCTTGCTGGAGGCTGCCATTTTGCTGAAGCCCAGAGCCCCTGAGCAGCAGTAAATCTTCTGGCTGTCAGCAGATTTGCCTCTACATTTTTAGTGCAGTGCTGAAAATAGAAAGCAAGTGAGCATGTGCAGAGCAGGATGAGCCAGTGTACTGCATTTTAAACAGCATAAGCACTTATTTATAACTATACCTGCAATAGCGACCAGCCTGAAATGTTCTAGCAGGACTTATTTTTCTGATTAAAGTTCCACTTTGAAGCGGAACTAAACCCTCTCATTGTTTTCAACCAAGGAAACTGCCATCTAAGCCTCTGTCTGATCTGCAGCTGCCATGGTGCTGCACATGTGATCAGTTATGAGACCAGCCATTTGATGGTTTGTCAGTTTGGTTGACAGGATGTCGGGAATGTAACCATTTTTCTAAACCAATAAATTGGGTTTAGTTCTGCTTTACCCTCAACCCTAAAGTGGTTGTAAACCCTCACATATACTCAGTGAAGTGACTGGCCTAAGGTTATATACAGAGAAGAAATAATTCTAAATATGTTGTACCTGTTTATCTGCATATTCTCTCCTCTACATCCATTCAAAATGCTGAATTTATAAAGCTTGTCTGAGAGTTCAGGAAAAGGGGGTGGAGAGCTGAAATTGGACACTGCAGAGCTCAGTGAGAAGAGCTCTGAGAGCTGATTGGAGGGAAGAGACACCGCCCCACTCCACACAACTCACAGGAACAGAGCTGAGGCTGCCAATCTGCTGGAGGTCCCTTCCCTGTCACCATTTTCTCTTGGTGTCAGGAAAACATTTTAGAAGTGATTCAAGCTGAAAGCAGAGGAACAAGCAGCGGAGAGAAATGACACTTAGTGATTGTAACTACTTGCCTACTGGGCACTTTCACCCCCTTCCTGCCCAGGCCAATTTTCAGCTTTAAGCGCTGTTGCACTTTGAATGACCATTGTGCGGTCATGCAACACTGTACCCATATGAAAAGTTTATCATTTTTTACACACAAATAGAGCTTTCTTTTTGTGGTATTTAATTGCCACTGGGTGTCTTATTTTTTGCACTATAAATAAAAAAAAAGAAAAACATTTGAAAAAAAAGTGTTTCTTTGTTTCTATTATAACATTTTGCAAACAGGTAATTTTCTCCTTCACTGATGTGCATTGATAGACAGAACTGATGGACACTGATAGGCAGAACTGATGGACACTGATAGGCAGAACTGATGGACACTGATAGGCAGCACTGATGGGCACTGATAAGGTGGCACTTATAGGCAGCACTGATGGGCACTGAAAGGCTGCACTGATGGGTGGCGCTGACTGATGGCACTGACTGGCAGCACTGCGAGGCACTGACTGGCAGCACTGATGGGTGACACTGATGGGTGGCACTGCTCGGTAGCACCACAGGGCACTGATGATCAGTGCCAATCTGCTCTGTGACAGCGTGTGGAAAGTGCTGCTGATAACCGGCAACTGTATTTACTCCGTGATCTGCTGTATCATTGGACACAGCTGATCACATAGTAAACGGTCGCTGCTGTGATTGGCCTTTTACCTCATTACGTGATCAGCTGTGTCTGTAGGACACAGCGATCATGGAAATCGCCAGGTGCGTGCCGCTGGGGGCGCACTGGAGGGCGTGTCCTGGGAGGATGTCATATTACGCCCTCCTAGAGCTGGATAATCGCGCTGTAGCCGTCATTTGGCTATAGCACGGTGAGCAAGTGGTTAACTGAGACAAGTACACACTACAGAAGGATATGCTTTGTTCATATTTCACGTCTGAAGTTTACAATTGGAAAATAATCTAGTATATACAATTGTTACACAAATCATAGTGTGATGGAATTAAAAAGTACCGCTCCTTTTCAACCTGCAGTGCTGTCATGTTCTGTGATACTGAATGAAATATGGCAACCTGGAGATGTTCTGTACACAGCTGGCATACGGAACACCCCCAGAAATGTCATTCCCAGCTTGTGTAATTGGCTCCCTGATTCTCCCAGAAGTCTGCACTAAGATAGAAGTCAAAATTTGAGGCATCTTCTGCAACAGGAATTTCAGTTTTGGTGAAACCCTCCCCAGTCGTTGAAATGGAAGTATGGCCGAGGCTCTTTTGTTCATACTTGTGGGTCACAGTTCACTTACCTGTGCTCTCCTGTGACCCAGTGGGCTAAAGCCTGTTGTCAGCTGACATCACAGAGCCTCTCCAGTCTTTGGATGTATCTCAACAATAATGTAGGGATTCACCCAGATGCCTTACAGGCAGCTGGCTCAAGCTCTCAGAGTGCTACTGAGAGCCTGACAGCTGCTCCGGCTCCATAGCCCAGCACTCCAGCGAGATCTGGAGGGGCAGAGTAGAGAGTGATGACTGACAGTCGCTGCTCTCTGCTCAGAGTGAACCTTAGAACTGAGCGATCAGAGGTCATATCCATGCTGAACCCCCTCTCTGAAAGCAGATGTAGTCAAACAGCCATAATAGTTGCAATCACTTACTCAGCCAAGAATTTTCCACTCAGCCCTGATTATTTTTAACCCTTTCACTGCCACTTGTGTGTGTCGGCAGCAGCCGAGAGGTTTTTTTTCAAACACAGTCCCAGCTGCTACAGCAGGTGGAAGTGATCTGGCTGCTGTACAGCTGTCTGATTGCTTCCATGGACCCCTGGTAGTGGAGCAAACCCCACCCGACTCCATCCACCATGTTACCCTGTCCCACTTGGGGCCCTGGACCCCTATGGTGGGTGTCACTAGGTAGAGAAGAAGGAAACCAGCGAACATCCATTTGCTGATCTCCTCTAGCTAGAATGAACATGGAAGCATTGTGGATTACATCACATCCAGATTCGGCTGTCACAGAGACTGGGAAAGATGCTAATGGAGTGCGATCCGAAGTCCATTAGGACTCGTTCACACTTGACTTATTTATAACTCTTGCCAAATGCCCGTTTAGCATTTGACAGGCGTTAGACAGGTGTTTGGGAAGCATTTTTAACGCTCCTCAAAGGGTCCCCTAACGCCCTATGCGTGGTTTTGATGAATTTGATAGGTGTTTGCCAAGCATTAAAAACGCACCACAAATGCCTATAATGAAGTTAAAGGGTATTAATGCTCCGCAAACGCCTCGCAAACACCACACAAATGCCCCACAAACACCTGCCAGGCATTTGAAGAGCGGCACCATATACTTGAATGGGAGGCTTCAACTCCTCCTGACTCGACATGAGGCATCAGTTTTGCCGCAACACTAACGCTTCAGTGTGAACAGCACTGTGTTCTGCCATGTGCAGAATTTTCATAGGCATTTGAGAAGTGTTAAAAACGCTTCCCAAACACCTGACGCCTGCCGACAAAGCTAGTGTAAATGTAGCCTTAGTTCATTGAAGGCTGCTGAGACATCAATCAATGGAAAAAATCCCTGATGTCTCCTTAAAGAGGACATATCAGTCCTCATGCGCACTGGATGTTTTGAAAACGCTGGTAATGTCAGCTGTGTAAAGTCACGTTAAAAACGTGAGTATTCCAGCTATTTTTAGCATTCTTGCATTAGTGTTTAGCTGCGTTTTCCCACGTTTGCGTTTTTTAGTGGTTTTTGTGGAAAAAAAAAAACATTTTTTTTGGCCAAAAACATCCAAAAATGCTGGTTTGCGATGTTTTACTGCGTTTTGCTGCATTTTTCAATGCTAGAGTGTTTTTACAGCTAAAAACTCCTCTAGAAACCCACTAGTCCTGGGTTTTTTTTTCCTGGGAAAAAGCATCCCCGCCAAAAAACGTTGATTACAGTCTATGTGTGCATGGACACATAGGATAACATGCTGGGGGGTTTACTGGCTGTAGAAAAAAACATCATAAGCCAAAAACAGCAGCTATAAAATACATCCAGTGTGCATGAGGACTCATGCTGTTGCAATGCTGTTGCTTAGGGGATTTTTGGTCCCCTACAGTTAAAGTGGTTGTAAAGGCAGGAGGTTTTTTACCGTAATACATTCTTGACATTAAGATAAAAAACTTTCATGATCAGCTCCCCTCCTGCAACCCCCCCCTAAATAATGACCTGAGCCCAATCTCAATCCAGCACTGTGTCCAAGAGCAGCAGCACTGCTCTCTCTTTCTCTTCTCACTGGACTCAGAGGCAGCAGCGGGAGCCATTGGCTCTTGCTGCTGTCAGTCAAAGCCAGTGAGCAGAGAGGGGGTGTGGCCAAGCCTGGATGTGTGTCAATGGATGCACAGAACTCAGCTCAGGAGCGACCCCGCCTATTTGCCCCCACAGCAAGCACTTGCTATGGGGGCAGATGCAGAAGAGAAGGAGCCTAGAATGCTGGCGGGAGACTCCAGAAGAGGAGGTTGGGGGTCACAGGGGA